TCATTCTGTTGAAAGGTATGCATCCAAATATATTACCACTTGTGCGTGCCTAGTAAAAGTATTAAAAAAAATGATTTTGACTATTTTGACCATTTCGGATATCCAAAATGATCTATTTTGACTTCATGTATAAGCATGATAATTGAAGACAGTACAATATTAACCACCTATAACTTACGACTTTTGTTCAATCCAAGTTATACAATGCTTACTATTGACCTACCCTCATAGGTATCCTTTGCAGACGATGTGATACTTATCCATTACAGACAAGCCCTTTAATATAGGTTTCAAACTCAATTGGTTCACTATACATCAAGTTACTTATTACCATTACCTGTTATCAGGGTGGTGTGTAAATGAAGCGACCTTACATAGCTTATGCCATAGAAGCTACCATTCTTCATATAATCAACTATCAATTGGTTACCATATTCTATAAATTCGTAATCTTTAATATATAGGATTCGTATACACCCTATAAAATTCATTTCCGGAATTGAACTGGTAAATCCCATAAATTAAATTATTATGATCTGCCTTGGCCAGGGGTTGAACTAGGGTCTATTGCATTGTAACCTACAATAGGTCTCAGTTGTTACCAACTGAGATAGGGTGGCGAGACCTTTTATATATAAATATGGTTAGACACATTTTTATATAATAACATGACAATCTTTTTTACTGATTTTTCGCTGATCTACTGATCTGATTTGAACGAATTTTAGCTTGTTAGAATCGCAGCACTGAGGTGAATCTGAATACAGTATCAGTTTTTGAGTAGTTAGCCTACTGAAAAATATTTCTATACTTAAATTTCATTAAGTAAGAATTTTGATGTAGATCGCTAAATTGTGTAAAATTGGTTTTAATAATTGCACTTCAAATTTTTACTGAATATTTGCTAGGTATTGAGATTTAAAACAAATACAAAACTATATTTCTAGCATTCATGGTTGGTGAGTTATAAGCTTTTAAAGGCAAGCAACTCTACTTGTGTTTCTTTTGTTAGCCACTATATGATTATTGTAAATAAAAATAGCACAATAATTAAGAAGTTGCAATTCAGTAAGTTGCAACTCCTTGTAAATTTATTTTAAGATAAAAATTCATAAATAGTTGCAACTAGTTAAAATTTTAAAAATAATTATAGGAACCATCTTTAATTGTGAATCATAATGATAAATAAGATATTTGAGTAATTGCTTTTTATTGATAACTTACTTTAAAATAATTATAATAATATATAGTAAAAGTATAATTTATAAATTATAAGTTATATAGCAATTAATCATATATTTCTAATATTATATATATAAAATAAGTTTATTAAAAATAAAATGTTTTAAGAAAAATAAAAATAAAATGATAAATATGAATATTAGCATCAGGTTAGAAAAAATCTAACTTCTCATTTAAATATTTATAAATCATCCTATTTATATAAAATAATTTATATAGAAAGATAAATCTAATATATTATACATGTTTAATAAATCAAATATATCAAATATATTTACTATATTAATAAATCAGTTATGTCAAATATATTTGCTATGTTAATTATATTAAAAAAGGAATAATTTAAACAGTGCATTAATGCATTCCCCATGTGATATTTGATTAAATCACATTTTTACACTTGTATCATGTGGTTATATAATGATTTGTCACACTATAAACTCATCCTTTAACTTGTGGCGTGGCATTAGGTTAGTCATTAGAGTTAGGTAACTTAAGGTTAAAATTAGGGTTAGTAAAAGGAAAGGTTGGGTTATTACAATTAGCCACATTATACATATATAATCATATGATCTAATGTCACATGAAAAGATAGTTGCTGTTAAATAAAAGTTACGTGAAATACTTCATTTTTATGTTATTGTTGATTAAATAATAGCTTTTTTTTCAATTTTCAATTCTCATGATAATTGCAAAGTACATGAATAACGAAATGAATTCCAATAACATTTGTATAAAAGAAGATTCTGTATCATATCCTTCTATTGATGAAAATGAAGACACTTATGAAAATGAAGATGATTTATTAGATTCCACTGAAAATGAAACAGGTGACCTTTATGTTGGTAAGGTATTTATATCATGGCAAGAAGTCACAATATTTCTCAATGATTTTTGTTTGCAAAGAGGATTTGGATACAGAAAAATTCAGTCAATGAAACATGATGTTACAGAGGAAGCTGCAAAAAGAACCTTTTTATGTAAGCATGCGGGCATAAACAAACCAAACAAAACTGTACCTCTTAATGAACAGCATAATAGAACTTCATATAAAGTGAATTGCTCATGGCGAGTCAATATCAGTAAAAAAGGTGAAGGAATTTATGTAGTAACAACATATATTGATAAGCATAAAGGTCATTCTCTTAATCTACAAACTGTTAATTTATTACCTTAATTTCAAAAGTTAATAGAAGATATGTTGGCCGATATACAGTTTTGGACACTTGAAGGTGATCTTAAGACAACTTAACAATACCAAATGCTTATAGGCAAATATCAATGTCGTATTATTAAGCGAGATCTTTATAATGCAATTTATAAGTTCTGACATCAAAAAGAACCTACAAAAAAGGATGCATATAATATTCTTAATTCTTTATTGGAAAAAAAAAGCTATTGATCTGGAATGGGTTGTAGAATATCAATTAGATTCAATATCACGATCTCTTACACATATTTTATGGATGGAACTACAACAAGTTGAATTATATATTCGATATGGTTCAGTAATTGCATATGATAATACTGCAAAAATGAATATATATGGTTTATCACTTTCAATATTTGTGATTGTTGATAACAATTATAATATAAGTCCAGTTGCACAGGCATTTTTAGATGATGAAACTTGAAAATCATATTCATGAAGCTTAAAGGTTATATTACAAGCACTTGATATTTATCTGACAGTAATGATTACAGATGCTGATCCTGCAATAGATGTGGCTATCGCTCAAATTTATCCTCAAATAAGACATTTGCATTGCATATGGCATATTGGTCAAAATATTCCCAAAAATTTGAAGAGTAAATTACATAGTGATTATGAAGAATTTGCGAAAAAATTCTTTCAATGTCGTAATAAACTTAGCATTGAAAATTTTGAGGATGATTATATAAAGTTAATTGAAGATTATCCTAATGCAAAAGGTTATCTTAAATGATTATATGAAAGTAAAGAATCATGGGCAGATGTTATACTAGCTTATATTTCATAGCAGGAATGCAATCAACAAGCTGTGTTAAAAGTATTAATAGAGTAATTAAAAAGGATTTAGATGGACTATATGTATCATTAAATGATCTTTGTGCAAGTTTAACTCGAATACTTAAGAAACAACAAAATAATAAAGAATTTATAGCATGGAAACAATCAATGCTATTGATATCACCACCTAATATATATAATACAATATTTCAAGATATTGATAATGAGATTCACATTCATGTAACTTTTGCAATAACTGAGAAAATTCATGAACAAATGAACCTTAGTTTTTTATATCACGAAACATAAATTGAATATAATACAATAGATATTAATATTGAATTTTCATGTGAGAATAGATGTGTCGATGAAATATTTGATTTA